ATGGTAGGCATGGCCGATCAGGCTGGGGCCAGGGAGGCACCGCCGAAAGCTTTGTAGGCCGGACGTCGGTTGTGCCTCCGGCAGGCCAGACCTGGGAAGAACCGAGCCTTGAATGCCGTGTGACGCAGGCCCAGACGACGGCAGAAATACGATCTGATGGCATCAAATCGAGCGCAAAGGAGAAGGAACAGCAGTGCGAGGCAGAAGCGACAGAGAAGCATGTCGGCATAGTGGAGGATGGGGAGAGGAGGGGCGCCATGTGCCAAAGAGGCACCGCCGAGAGCTTTGTTGGCCGGGCGGTACGCTTGCCTCCGGCGGCCCGGACCCAGAAAAATTGAGGCCTTGAATGCCGTATAAGAAGGCCAAAAATACGCGCCAGAATACCATCAGGTGGCATTGATGGCATCAGATCCGGCCAGCCGGCCACCGCCGAGGAAGACCAACATGCCGCCCTGGCGGAGGGAAACTGGTGCGCGGGCGGAGCAGCGACGGCCGCAGACATATCCAAAGGAATCCCGACAGCGGCGATGACGGGGCGGCTGATGCGCCAGATGTGATGTCGATGGCGGTGATGGGGCGGACTGAGCCCGGCGTGGGGTGAAGAGGGCGGAGGATGGCATATCGGCGCAAGGGGAGAGAAGAAGGTCGGCCAGTGATGCGAGGATCCGATCCGATGGGACGCCGGGCGTTGGTGGGAGCGCGATGATGGCGGGGTGCTGATGCGACATCAAGCGCAGTGATGGAGGCGATGCAAGCAGGGACAGCGGCAGATACATCCAAAGGGACCCTGATGGTGGCAATAACAGGGCGGCTGATGCGCTAGAGGCGACGTCGTTGGAGGTGATGAGGTTAACTGAGCCCGGCGTGGAGAGCAGAGGAGAAAGCGGCCAGTGATGCGAGGATCTGATACGATGGGACGCCGATGATGGCGGTATGCTGATGTGATTGATGCGACTGATGAAGGTGATGGCACATCAAGTCACGGTGGTCCACACGTCTATGGGCGTGCGGCAGGCCACATGGATGGGGATGATGGAGTTGACTGCCGGGCTGAGGGAGCATAGAGCCAGTCGGGCCGTGTCGGTGTAGCAGCATGGATAGCGGCCGAGGTGACGGAGATGGCAGTGAGGAATGGTGGTGATGGAGTTGACGGTATTGAGGCGGCACCGATCTGTTGCGGCGGCGAGGTCGGCGACAAAGGCATGATCTGCCGATGGCAGCGGTGATAGTGGAGAGACCTGACAGATGCACTTGTTGGCAGGCGCCCGACGCCGCCGGTTCAAGAATGATGGTTGATAGCGGCGATAGGCAAGGAGGCGTGACATTGCTTGATATGCCTCCGACCGGCCGAAAGCCTGTGCAAAAAGTCTGAACATTTTTCAAGTTGAAGGTGACGGGAAATCTGCTTACGTAAGCCGCCGGTGATGCCCGTGATTGCGATCAAAGTAAGCGATTGGGCATGGTTGCGCGGGATTGACCGACAACGGGCCGTGAACAATGACAAGGAAAGTCAATTCTATGGTCAGGGTCAGTGAAACATTAACTAAAAATAATCAGAATGACGTACCAGCATAGGTTCCCCCTCCGGACATGGATTCCCCCTCCCCAGGTGTTGATCCGCAATGTCGATGACTGCCGGGACATCAGCCAGTCCGATTCTGTGGTCAGTGTCAATGAAACATCGAGCCAAGACGAGCGGAAAGCCATAGCAGCAGAGGTTCCCCCTCCACGCATGGATTCCCCCTCCCAAATGCGCACCACAAGGAAAGCTAGGTCACATGTCAACGAAAGAGTGAGCAAAAACAAAGGCAAAATCGTACCAGCAGAGGTTCCCCCTCTAAGTATGATTCCCTGCACCCAAGCGCCGATATGTAGCGACTGGTAGACGTCAATAAGGGGAAATATAACAGGGAAGGGTCATACCGGCATGGATTCCCCCTCCGTCCGCTCCCCGGGCGAGGATGTACGACACTGACAGCACCCGTAGCTGTAAGTTTTAGGCTAAAGGCCTATGTACAGCTAAACAGGTGCTTGCCTACACAGTTATTTCCACCTAGGGCTAGCTGTACCTAGTGATTTAGGCTATTGAATCAATAATATCAATAATGGAATAAATGATTATATGATACATATAATGTAATAAATTATGTAATATGATACTTTTAACTCCTTTTCTTCAGGCCGATGATCCGGTATATAGTTAGGAAGGCCTGTATCAACAACTTTCCTAATTAGGACAAAATGATGTATCATGAGATAGCCATCAAAAGTAGTGATGGCAATCAAAAATGGTTCCACAATAAAATCATTATCTAGATAGGTGCATTGCCACAGGTGCTAGGATACCAGATAAAGAATAATAATATTTTTTTTTTTGAAGAAGTGTCACACATGTCACACCTGTTACAAAGCGTCACATTTGGCTCTAACAGAGGCCAGTAAAGGGCTGCCTAGGTAGGGCTAACCCTGTAGGCAATGGGTTCCCTAGCTGTACCTACTGGTTTTAGCCTAAATATTACCACTATGGCTCCTGACAGGGGCATGAGCAACGCCAAGAGTGAGGGATAGACGCCAACTTACTGGTCAATATCCACCAGATTCATCGCCGCGTTGGGTGACCAGTTGAGCTGAGCAGTGGAGTCGACGCGCATGATGTCAAGGGTGATACTGTGCTGCGGTAGGCCCTAGGTGCACAGCCATCAGCGACGAGCACCAGAAGAGAAACGACGGAAATCTCTTGCAAGACACCCTGGGTCGACGGCGCCGGGCTCTTCGCCTAAGTGGTGTAATGGCCAAAAGCGGCAATGGACGGCCCTGAGCACAAGTGACCCTAACTAGATAGCTCTCTAAACGTCTCTTGGCTCAGCGGCCTTGCTCTCTTTCTGGTTTTCTGTCTTCACTGTTCTGTCTTTTTTCCTTGGCTGCAAAAAGACTTGGTATATTATTTTTCTGCCCTTTCCACAGCTTTTGACATGCCATATTGCTTGTCCTGAGGCTTCTTCACCCTCCTCAGACTTTTCCCTGCCTTGCACTTGCAGTCTTCTAACGCGATCACACGGCTACGCTCACCCGCCATATCGGGCAATTCACCCGGTTGAACTCGGAATCTTCGCCCTTTGGATGCGGGGACTCGGTCAATTGAGACGGCCGATGCGTTGCCGTCATTGCCGGCTCCTCCAGCGTCTCCCGGAGCACAATCGCGCTCCTGATCGCATCCTGTTCCACTTCAGATCACCCGTGCTACACGCTGGGATAAGTCTCCTGTGCGGCCATGATCGGGGCAAGCAAACACATATGACGATATAAATAGCTCACCCTAAGCCAGTAGACCAGTCTGGAGCGCCATTGGCCGTCGCTGAAGAGCATAAATCGCCCAACACTGCCTATACCAACACGGAATTCTGTCTTGTTAAGCGAGCGCTTTGCATTGAGCCGCCGCACTGTCACCGCATGACAGATGGGGTCCAGACGCGTGTATCCATGGAGTTATTTTGGTCACCGAGTCCCAAACGGCGATATGGTCTGCTTATTGTTTCATTCTGCTACACTCTGTAGTTGACTCGGATGGCTCTATTTATGCTATTTCGATACTTGAAATGCTTCAGAGAAACGAAAGGGCAATTAGAAACAGCTCGCTTACCATTGACATATGAACATCTCTCCATTTCTCCGAAGGCGCCCTCAGACGCAACACCACCCTTTGACGTGCTCCACGGGTCTCGGCCCGACGGGGTATATAAGGGACGCGGGCCTCTGCCCACGCCCGCATGTCTCTTTCCTCTTCCCTCCATCTTCCCTCGTCGCGAGTCCGACCCACGTGATGTTGACTTTGCGCCTGCTCGGGTGAGTTTCGTGCTCGATCGCGTCGTGAAGACTACTGACCTACTCTTAGCGTCGCTGCCACTGACTTGCGGCCGCGTCTTGTTGCGGGAGGAGGGAGTGTCGTCGTCGTTGTCTTGCGGGTGCGTGCTTGTGGCTCGTTGCTCCCCATGTTGCTGACCCGTTGTTCAAGGTCTACCCCGGCGTCAGTCTTTAGCGTCTTGTCATCCAACAAAGGTCAGTTTCATGTCAAACGAATCATCTGGGTAGCTTACCTCGTTTCAGTCCCACAACATCGCCGAACTCTGCCCCAAGTCCATGGTTCTCCCGCTCGCGGTCGTCGGCGTTGACCAATACACACGTTCTTCTTCTTCTTGATCCCTTTGCTGACCATGCTTCCCAGCGTCGCACGTTGGCGGCGGTGTCCATATCCGCCGTCGCTGTCCAATGAAGGTCAGTTTCGTGTTAGACTGCTTTGTGGACGGACTCACCTTTTTGTAGATCCGCAGCTTCCTTCCGTCTTTGCTACCTTGCAGTTGGGCGTTATATCTATGTGAGATTGGCAGCGTCCGTATAGGCGTGTGTGTTTGCGCTTGTCACGCGTCCGGGTCGCTCACTTGTTCTTGTTCTTGAAGATCGTCTTGCTGACCGTTCGTTAGCGGTCATCTTTCCGCCTCCAGCCTTGGAGAAAGGTGAGTCTGGCGCCATACTTGTCGTTGTCCTCACGCACCTTGTCCCAGTGGTTGCCCGTAGCAGTGCGCCTTGTTCGGCGGACGTCTCCGAGGCCGCCAGTGCGCTCTCCATCGCCATTAGTTCGCGCCATCGTGTGCATCGTAGGGACGCTGCTAAGCTATGTGAGTTTGTTTTCTCCGAGTCTTGCCTGGCGACTCACTGTCCCCTAGCTCGTGGACCTCCACATGGACGGCTACGCTAATTGGCCGAGTAGGCCGAGTAGATACCGTGTTGGTGCCGTGTAGGTGCCGTGTTCGAACCGTGCAAGTGCCGTGTGCTTTTCGGCTGTGACAGCAAAAGTGCCGTGCTGTCACACGTGCCGTGTGTGTGACAGATAAAGTGCCGAGTGTAACAGATAAAGTGCCGAATGTGTCATACTGCCACACATCACTCTCATAAATAGGAATCAAGTACTAGTAGCATAATAGTGTAAATGAATAACAACAATTTTAACCATCATTATCTTCTGAGTTGAATGGCGCTGAATCTGAGGCTTCTGAGCCAGACGATGCAGACTCTTCATAGGTGTACCACCCTCTGCCCTCGGCTACCACCTTGCGACGCTTGAGAGTGTGTCTCGAGTGATTTGAGGCTGGTTCCGACCGCGTTCGAGCACGAGTGCGATGTGGGGAGGTTGGGTTCAGTGTGCTGCGGTGAGAAGTACTGCTCGGCACTGCACGATCGCTTTGTGCTGCGACGGAGATGGGACTTCTGATAGATGTGCCAGTGGAGGCATGCCTGTCGTCTCTGTGGGTGTCAAAACGAACCTTCTTTCGTGGAGGTTGACCATCAACACGCGGTAAGTCTGCTGCGCGTCGGACAAGTTGACCATGGTACAGAAGAGGAACCAGATGACGGCGGTCCGAGCTTGGAACAAGGCCGCGGTATACCAGACTGCGTTGCCAAAAGACAACGACCCCGCGTTGAACCCAAGACCACCGAGATGTGAATGTGTTGGGTGATTCGGTAACAGAAGTAGTAATCTCGTGGATTGCTCTCCGTGTCAGTCGTATGTCGAAGTCCTCGATAAGGCCACCAGACCGAAGTTCACGGTAAGTGGCGCCACTGTGGTCCCAGTCTTCGCCCAAATGGTGCTGGATACAAAGACAGATCCAGAATGCGATTGAAACCGTTAGCGCACGCTCCCAAGTCCCCGTAACGCGATTGGCTGCACGTTCAATCGTGAGGAGTCGAATAGGTTCTCCCAGAGTTGCCCACAGCCCAGGATCGATACCAGAGGCCACGAATCCACGACGCTCAAGCCAGCGAACATCGGGGTCAAGTCCAGGGTGAACACCAAGATGATCTTCATCAAAATCGGCAATTATCGGGTGGACTGAGTCTGAGTCGGGACTGTTGAGTTGCGCAACAATCTGGGGAATGGCGATGGCACAAGCCATGGAAATATCGCGGTTAAGAGTTTCTTTCTCCTCGAGTGCCGGATTGAGCGCTTCTGGTGCTGCAAGTCCACGAAGCTAATAATTATCCAGTCAGAGTCCAAATGTCTAGTGTAAATAGAGCAAACCTGAGAGCCGCGAATCCTTCCGTCGTTGCCAATGGGAAAATGAATATCCTCGTAAGACCGGCGGAATGATTCACGGGGAGGCGAAGAAACACGGCCCGGCCAAGAAATATTTCGCAGCCATCGGCACTCATATTCCTTCCCACACCGATTGCCACTGTACCCAATTATTTCCGCTGGAGCCCACTCTGCCGTGTTCTGTCTTGCCCAGGGGTTGAGCCGTTGAAGTCGTACAGTTCCAGGGCTATCCAATCTGTTAGATGCGACAAAATGTGAATGAAAACACGCACAGAAGAGGAAGTTGAAGCCGTCCACGTCCTTCGGCACAGGAGTGGCAGAGAAGACGATTTTCTTTGTCGGCCCAGTCGGTGTCTGCAGGTAAGCAGTCGTTGTGAGACCAGTTCTGGCACTGTGCACATTGCACTAGCTTCTGGCTCTCCGAATCGGCCCCCTCAGCGCCGCAAACACAGGAAATCTGCCGCCATTCGTCAATGTCGAGAGTACCGTCGGCGTTGTCGGACGGATCGGGCCCTGGTCCGATGACAGACTCGCGCTCGTCAACTTCAGAGCCGGAAGACGCGAGGCTTGGAGTTGGACTTGTCGGTGAGTCCTCAATGGTTTTGCTCCGCCTTTGCTGTAAACCTCGGGAACGTCCAGCCCGGGGGCTCTTTTTGCGTGTCTTCGCTGCGTTGGTACTCGCTAAAGAACTCAAGATGATGTTGGTTACTCCGAGACCAGATACGAGCGGTGTCGGAGAGCTGTGTTAACCCTGGAGCGTCCATCACGGCTGTTTTCGTCAGCAGGCGGCCGTTTGTCGGATCAACGTCAAAAAGGAGATGATGTGGCGGTTTCCGCTGTCGCTCGTGTTGGAAGAGCTTCTGAGCTTGCTCTCCACCCGCCAAGTGGTACACGAGCGCACTTAAGATGTACCCAGATGGAAGGCCCGTAAACTTTGAGGAGACACCTGTCATCGCAGACTTGAAGGTAAATCCGGGCCGGTGAACGGCCCGGCCTCCATCCGTCATTCCATCATAATCGAAGATCTTGCCATCTGGCAGCGCGTAGCGTGCTTTGAAGTGCTCGTCTTGATGACTGGCATAAACATGAGCCACGAGATCGTATTGAACCCCTGCGGCTGCAAATGTGTTGCCGAGAGGTAAGAGCTGGCCTGCCACATCCCAGTCATATTGCTCGCCTTCATCAATGACAAGAACAAGGATTGTTGGGAGGCTGATGATGTAGCGATGGAATAGCGTAGCACCATCACAGAGGTACTCGCCGTTGGCATGTCTCCAGCAATGAAGGTTTTGCCAGGAGGTCGGGTTGAGAAAGCCACCATTGAACCACTTTTTTATTTTCCCTCCGTGGAGTTGGAAGTGAGTGCCGGTCAATTGAATTTCGTTAGCCCAGTGTGGTGTGCCGATCTGCCAGTGAGTTGATGCGTGATCAGAGCATGTCGGATCTCCGAGGCATTGCCGAATGTCAACGGCATAGGTGCGAAACATGCTCACGGCACGGGCGGACGCCGCGACGCCGGAGTTATCGAGGCTCAGTATGCTACTGAGGAGTGATGCTTCAAACAACCAGCCCTGGAATATGTGAGAATCAAGAAGAATACGCGAGAATAGGAAATTTTACAAATGGTGTCGACGGCGCGGACATTGATGTGATTCCTTTGATGATCGGAGAGTCGACCAAGTGCTGCCGAAAGCTATTACGAAGCTTCCACAGATTATCTGATGTTGTCAGGTCCAAGCTGGACTCGGCAACATGCTGTGGAATTAAGGCGTGCAATTGGGCGAGGGGTTGGTTGAGTGAAAGTTCCGAAAGTCCAGCGAAGAGATCGATGTTCCGAAGCGCCACCGCGTACAGTGCCGTCAACGAGGAGTCAAGCCAACAGGAGTTGAGATACCAGCGATAAGAGATTTGAAAGAGCTGGGGTAGAGTCGACTTCTGCGGCAATTTAGGACGTGTCTCGGCAGGAATAAGCTCTGCCGCAGTGTCGGGAGGACGCGAATCAGCCTTCTGAGCCGCAGTTGGAGCTCGATTCTTGCCGCGAGATAGATGTGTTCGACCATATATAGCCGCCGTCTTCTTCCACCGCTGAGGGTCTTCTCCATAAAAGATATGTTGTCCGTCTACGCGTGAATCAGCAATGCTTAGCAGGATAAATCACGGATTTTACGCTTAGCATGCATATATTGGTCTGCAAAAGTATTGCCGGCGCTCACGAGGCCTTCCAAGCCCTCGAATAGACTGTTCAGACGCTTGACCATCGAGTAGAGACGATGATGCATCGCCTCTTCCGCGTTGGTCATGGCGGGTAATGAGTAAAACAAGTCCGTGTCCATGGCCATCTCAGCCCGAAAAATCATGGAAGCATGTTGCGGACGTAGCCACCACGATAGCCAGGGTTCGATCAGGGGGAAGTCTTGGATTAGCCGAGCGGCGACAGCACGAAACACGTCCGAAGTCTTGCAGTACAGCAGCTCCTGAACACGATTTTCGAAGATAAGGCGTTGATTTGGCGGCACAATCCGAGTTATCTTGCTGACTCGTGAGATTTGTTCCTTGAAATGACGCTCGCAGCCTTTGAGCAGCGCTTCGGCAGCCATTTGAAGGGCTTCGGGCGTTTCGGTGTTCTTCGGATCATCCATTTTCCATTCCACATACGCGCGAATGAACCCATTTCGTTGCGTGTCACTGAAATCGACCACCTGTAACAATTTCCGTCCTGTGAGCGTTTCGATAGAATGAAATGTCACATACATTGGCCAAAAGAGTGTCTGTAAATGGTGTGCCGGGGCACCGAATTTTATATTCCTTGGCAATACCTTCAATCAAGTGGCGAAAATGAATCGCGTAGTGCTCAGCCGTTGCCCCATTCGAATAAGACATCACAACGGGTACCCAACACTTGAGAAACTCGGGCTCGAAGGTCGAGCTGACAAAAAGCAGGTCATTTTTGCCACGAAAATAATTATGTGCCGTCAGACATAGCCTTTGCATTGACATCCACCACTGGAGAAGAAGACACGTCCGCACTCGCTGGACTTGAATCTAGTGTTCGCTTCAGCACTGCAGTCAAGGATTTGAGAGTAAATGTACCAGTGTCAACCGAGAAAGTATCTGGCAACAGCGAGGACCAGTCGTCGGTGGTCAGTTCGACCAGGCCAGTCGCCGTTCCCGATACTGACTGCAACCTGCCAGTGTGGCTGTAACGGTCGTGACTGTGAGTGCCGTGATGTGTGAAGACAACGCCGTATCGGAAGACGGAAGCGCCCATCTCGATACCACATGAGCGTTGGGCAAGGGGATGTCCACAGAGACATCGCAATGTGGAATGTCGAGAGCCGTGACGGCGGGGAGGAACGGGGGCGACGGTGAGGGCATGAGGGCAGCGAGGCGACGAGCAGCGAAACGCGCCGAGCAGCGAAACGCGCCAAGGCAGTTGACACGGAATTGTTTCCCTCCCTCCGGCTTTAGCGCGTCCGGAGAGCCAGGTCGGCGGCCCGCTATCGCTTCGCTCACCCAGAACAGCGCAAGATTCCCTGTCTCCTTGAGCTCTTGACGTTGAATTTGGCATCGGAGATGTCCGTCGGGCCAGCCGTTCCACTCGGAAGCCTGGAGAGAGCGATAGACATGGACTTGCGGTGGCTGGAATATGATAGGTGAGGGTGGGGAGACTGCGGCTGGGGCTGGGCGAGATTCGGGTGATGTTGGTGCCGAGGCGGCTCCATCCAAGACAGAGTCGGTTGTTGCACGTCCTAGTATACTCAGCAACGTACAATGAGGTACACGAATGAAGTCTTACCGATATTCCTGAATGTGATGTCGGATTTTCGGTCTCCCCGAAAGTAGCCTATGAGGCGGTCTGCGATTCACTTAGTGCTTGAAAGGCATGGATAGGACCCAACACACCGTTCGCATCGTAGACCGGTTGCGGTCTGGTATGCTTACGGCGGGTTGGCCTTGTGGTAGCCTGCGCGACCTGCGCAACGTCGTCCTTCAGGCTTCGGAGACTGAGCAAGATATAGATTAGAACGAGTGCGTAGAGGCCGAGAATGAGCTGGCTGGATACGAGGGTGGAGATTGCCTCATAGCAGACGGAGGCCCAGCGCTGAATTGTCCTCCCATAGGCAAGACCAACGAGCAACGCGAAGGCAGCATTTGACACTGCTAATGCGATAAGGAGTGGCTCCGCCATTGAAAACCAGCAGCGAGCTGCCACTGGTGGGCAATCGAGTGACGAGAGAGCGCCGAGCCGAGCCGAGAACACGACAGAAGTACTGAGTGTCCTATTGTCAGTCCCGAGTGCCACGTCATCGACTGTACTGCTTACGAGCAGACACGTTGAGAGTGGCTCTCTGTGCCGATGGACACCTAGTGTCGCAAGAAAGGAGCAACGGGCGAAGGAAAGAGCGAACTCTGTGCCGATGGTGGTGGATGGGAAATAAGAGCCGCGATGAGCACAGCCACAGCCGATCTGTCTCACGATGACGAATGGTGCCAAAGCTGCGGAGTCGACTCAAGCTTGAGCGCCTGGGATGCCATGGATTCGATGTCAATGTGAATTTGGGTAAGTTAGAGGCCACTATATACCTCCCAATCCATTTGGGCTCTTAATAATATATCCAGCGCTGGAAAATGGCCGATCTTGTGCTATGCATTACAAATCTTACGGTATCTGTACTAAACGTAACAGAGGAAATGAGTATGTGTGGGCTGGGTAGTGCCGAGAGGGCTGTGACAGAGTGCCGTGAAAGTGCCGTGCATGCACCGTGCAACTGCCGTGGCCATGCTGTGCAACTGCCGCATGAAATGGCACTCAAGCACGGAAGTGCCGTGTAGTACCGTGTAGTAGCGTGTACTTCCGTCATATGACCGAGTCTGACCAAGTTTCAAGAGATGTTTATCTTGTTTGAAAATACCAGTGTGGCTTGAAATTACAGCTAGACTCTTCAATTATGCAGACTCTGACCCAAATCAAGTGTATTTCAGTCTTCTATATCTAAAATAGAACTCAGATATGGACTTTTTGTTAAAATTATAAGATTGTAAGAGTAGATATAAGCTAAGACAGATAGCAAGAAGCTTATTGACATGAAATATACCCAATTGGCACTGCCACGGCAGTTCGACTCGGCACTCGGCACTCCCGCGGTCCTACACGGCACTCGCCGGCACTTTGTGGTGCCCGCCACATGGACATCGAGGGCGGAGATGGTGCGTTCGGTCGGATTTGGGGTTGAGGGACAGAGGAGAGGCGGTCTCGACCGAATTTATGGCGATCTGCGCGATGTAGGACTTGCTTTCCACGTCAGCGCGCTTCTCCCGCTCGATATATAAGCCCAGCGGGCCTCTCGGCGATCCTTGCTGACCGATTGCCGCCAGAGTGTCCATTCCGGCTGGGGCCGCGTTCGACTCCTTTGGTGCCGGCAATTGGCGCGGAGGGGCCGTCGGCGCAGTTTGGGACTCAGCGGGGCGAATTCGCCGAGTCCTGGAGGTAGTTAGCATTCTGTAGCGTCAGTGGGCCGTTCAGTGGCCGGCGCGGCGGGTTAGCGCGCCGTCAGCGGCCGTGCAAGGTGTGGGACAAGGCGCCGCCCTCTGGGGCGGGCGGTTGGCGGGCGGGGTGAGCGGGGAAGCGCGAAGATGAAGGGGTGAGAGTGGTTGATAAGCGGCACGTGCAACCGGGGAAGAAGCCCGATGGAGCCGGAAGGGCTCCCACGCTTTTTCCGCCGCTTCTTTTCTTCCTTCCCCCGTCTTTGCGCACAAGCGCGGCCTATCGCTGGCCCACCCTTCGCCTCGAGCTGGCTGGAGGATGAGTCGCCGTCGGAGTGGACCGACTGCCGGTGCGTTCTCGTGTTCGTTGCTGCCTACATTTGTACTGAGCCTGCCGTTGCAGACTTTATCTGCTTACATGCCTCTGTCTTCGATATGGTGCTCAATACATACATGGCGCGCAAGGCGGTGGCCGCAAACAGCCCAGATTCCGCGCGTGGAATGCACGCAGTAAGACCAATGGAGGAAGTGAAGTCAGGCGCATTGGCGTAAGGTCAGCACGTCGACGTATGCCTCCGCAAGTGTATATGGCTGCTATACGGCTTCCGTGGACTCCTTCTCCCCGGCAGAGTCTGGCTGCCACATTCGCAACCCGAAAGCCTTCACCCTTCAATTTTCGCCGCTGCTCTGGGGGGAACTGGAGCCCGTCGACAGGCTCCATTTGAGTTTGATTCGGCTGTAGAGCCGGACGGCCAGATTCTCCCCCACAAACGAGCCGACGAAGGCAGCTTACCTCGCCCTTCCGCCACGAAGTCACCGCGCTGCAGGCTGGCATAGACGACGGCTACCGTGTTGCGCTGCGGACCGCGGTACAAGCTCTTCCTTGACGCGGCCCGAGCGATTCCTCCCAGGGCCCGCGGGCGGCGATTCACCGATGCCTTTGGCTATGGGCGGCGGTGGGTGTCGTCTCGTCCTGCCTCCACATTTGACAACTTCCAAGCAGAATTTGCGTCGGGCGGTATTTCACAGACAACAGCATCTGGATCGCTGTCGCGACGGTGCTTGCGATGTGCAAGGTTGCGAAGAAACGGGATGATGCGGGCAATGAGATCGAGCCCGTCTGGGAGATGAGCGATGGGCTGGACAGGTGTGTGCTCATTTTCTTTGGTCAATACAACATGCTCACCGTGGACACTCATCCACGTAACTTTGAATGTGCGGTTGGGCCAAGGCTGGACAAGGAGTTGCTTGACGATCTATACGTGTAACAACGACGCCCGTGCCGTCCCCGACTGTGGCTCAATTGCATACTATCTCAATACTATTCATGTGGCCAGTCACTTCAGGGTGGGTGGATCAAGTAAACAGGAATGAGCCCAAGAAGCCTAGAGACTCTTCAATTCTGCACCTCCTCTAAGGTTCACTTTTCAAGGATGAACAAATAATTTTAATCTAATACCAGTTGAATAGAGTCATCTACTGGCAAGTCTAGCCTAGAATCCTGCCTCCCGGGCCCTCCCCCATTCAAACTGCCACTTTGTAATCCGTATACCCAATAGCAGGGTCGACGCCTTCCGCGCCATAGAGATGCGCGAAATCAGGTGCATTATCCAGTGGCTTGCCCTGCTCGATGCGCCGCGTAAGGTCGGGGTGCGTCAGCCAATGCAGTCCGAAGAATACGCCCTTGACGACGCCCGTACCGTCCCCGACATACGCCTCCGCATCCGCGACCTGGAGCGCTGAGTTGACGAACAGCAGAGAACGTGTGACGTAGCCCTTGAGCGCCTCGACAACGTCGAACTGCGTTGCGCAGCGCATATCAATCGATCTGATCGTGCAACTACCCGAGTCTTCCGGATACAACGCAATTCTCGTGATCGTCGACAGACTGGGTAAAGGGATACGTGTACTCCCGTGCATGGGAAACATCTCCGGGGAAGGAGTCGCTCGGCTATATTGTGATCACGTCTGGAAGGATTACAGATTTCCAGAGGTTTGACATTCACTTTTCAAGGGCTGGATGGACAAATAATTGTAATCTACCAGTTGGATAGAGTCATTTACAAGTCTAACCCTAGAATCCTGCCTTTCCCATTTCAACTGCCACTTTGTAATCCGTATACCCAATGGCGGGGTCGACGCCTTCCGTGCCATAGAGATGCGCGAAATCAGGTGCATTATCCAGTGGCTTGCCCTGCTCGATGCGCCGCGTAAGGTCGGGGTGCGTCAGCCAATGCAGTCCGAAGAATACGCCCTTGACCACGCCCGTACCGTCCCCGACATACGCCTCCGCATCCGCAACCTGGAGCGCAGAGTTGACGAACAGCAGAGAGCGTGTGACGTAGCCCTTGAGCGCCTCGACAACGTCGAACTGCGTTGCGCGGAGCTTGCCGTCGAGCTCGACGTCCAGGAAGGGATTGTAGCGCGCAAGGACGACGTAAGAGAGGGGGTTGGGGAGCTGGTCGATTTGCGTGAGGAGGTATCCGAATGTGTCGAGCGTTTCGTCGAGCGGCATGCCCATGTCATTGTACCCGCCCGTGGGGCTGAGTTTGATGGAGACGTCCTGCGGGTAGACCTCTTGCAGCGCGGCGAGTGCCTCTAGGATGAACCGCGAGCGATTGGCAGCGGAGCCGCCGTATGAGTCGGTGCGCTTGTTTGAAGTCGAGTCAAGGAATTGGTTGGGGAGGTAACCATTGGCAGCGTGGACTGAGGAGGAGTCAACATCTGAGGCCAAAGACACGGAAGTTGTCACGAACGTTCGACACCGTCGAAGCCCGCTGCTTTGGCGTTGACACCTGCCTGCTTGAAGAGCGCAATGATCGTCTTGGGGTCGGGGAGCTCCGTTGGCTGCCATATGTGAGACAAGTAACTGGAGTCATTGAAGCTTACTGTCACATAACCGGGTGAGCCCGGGAGGAATCTAAACTTTCCGCCCCGAGCAGCAATCGGCGAGGGTCCGTAAACCGGAACGCCAGCAGCAATCTGTTGCGGAGCGCCGGGATGGCTGACACGGCCAAGATGCCAAAGCTTTATGGACGCGGTCAGTAAGATGTATTGTTCGGCGGCGATAACGCTTACTTGTGCGTAGATCTTGCTGCCTCGCGCATGCACGGCGTCGATAATCTTCTTCCATCCATCGATATGCGCGGGAAGACGAGGTCTGTTCTGGGAAGGCGCTGCAGGCGAGGCCTGTCGAAATGTCGTCTCTCGCGAGGTCTCTGTGCGTTATTCGTCGGTCGCGGTACGGCGCGCGATCGGCTGCGGCGCCGCATGCCCTCACGTCACACATAATAAAAACTTTCACATGTCAAATCATACCCCCCCTTGCACGCCGCGCTCCAACGCTAAGTCGCGCTCGCTCGCCAAGTCGCGAGCGAGAGCGCACTCTAATATACCCCGCTGGCTCGCGCACGGACCTCTAGAAAGTCACGAGGTAATTCTAGTGGGGACGAAAATTTGGATTCTGAGGGCTATTTTGGGCAAGTCTGGCGCGTGCATGGGGGGGTCTTTGACAGAGTCCGTTCTCGGGCATTCCGGGCAGGTATTGGTAGGCAAAGTTCGTGTATCTGGCTAAGTACGAGACACGCTAATTAAGACGCGTTCGACGCGTTTGATCGCGTCAAAACGGGCGTGCAAGACAAGTCCATCCCGCTGCACCATCCCACGCAGGCGCGCGTATCTCACTTCCCTCCAATCCAGCGTTAACGCAAAGTCAACTCCCGCTTCTTCCCGCGCTCAGAGTTGATCCATCGCGTTGCAAAGGGCTGGATGCCGATGAGTCCCGCTGCTCCCCTGGGCCCTCGGACACGACAAGGCGCGGTTGTAACCGCCGTCACGGCACTTGTGTGGAGAGCACACAGCCGAAAACGTTGCTGGCCCGGCGGTACGTGGGCCTCCGGCGGCCTGGACCTGTGAAAAAATGAGCTTTGAATAGCGCATGAAACGAGGAAAAATGACCCCAGAAATACCATCAGATGGCGGTGATGGCATCAAATGGCAGCACAAAAATCGCGCGCGGAACGGGTGGAGGTGTTCTGGGGGGTGCCGAGCAGGCTTGCGAGCACCGCTGGCAGGAGATGGCGAAGCTATCCGAGAGCAATAGGGCCAACATTGAAGCAGAGGGATGTGAGCCGGCGAGACGGTGTTGTGGCCCAACGGGAAGTTGCGGGGCCAAGGGCGATGGCGGTTGATGGTCCACGGAAGTCAAGCCGTGGTACATAGCCGACAGCTTCGCAGGCCGGGCGTTCCGCTCGCCTCCGGCGGCCCGGACCTGGGAAAAAGTGAGCCTTAGATGACGCATAAACCAAGAAAAAATCACCGCAGAAATACCATCAGATGGCACTGATGGCATCAAATATAACGCGAAATCGTGCGCGCAGTGGAAGCCGAACGCGGTATATGACATCAAGGGTAGCCCCGCGCAGTGGAAGCCGAGGGCGGTATCGGCACGCGTGGACATGACATCGATGGTGGGCATGGCCGATCAGGCTGGGGCCAGGGAGGCACTGCCGAAAGCTTTGTAGGCCGGACGTCGGTTGTGCCTCCGGCAGGCCAGACCTGGGAAGAACCGAGCCTTGAATGCCGTGTGAGGCAGGCCCAGACGACGGCAGAAATACGATCTGATGGCATCAAATCGAGCGCAAAGGAGAAGGAACAGCAGTGCGAGGCAGAAGCGACAGAGAAGCATGTCGGCATAGTGGAGGATGGGGAGAGGAGGGGCGCCATGTGCCAAAGAGGCACTGCCGAGAGCTTTGTTGGCCGGGCGGTACGCTTGCCTCCGGCGGCCCGGACCCAGAAAAATTGAGGCCTTGAATGCCGTATAAGAAGGCCAAAAATACGCGCCAGAATACCATCAGGTGGCATTGATGGCATCAGATCCGGCCAGCCGGCCACCGCCGAGGAAGACCAACATGCCGCCCTGGCGGAGGGAAACTGGTGCGCGGGCGGAGCAGCGACGGCCGCAGACATATCCAAAGGAATCCCGACAGCGGCGATGACGGGGCGGCTGATGCGCCAGATGTGATGTCGATGGCGGTGATGGGGCGGACTGAGCCCGGCGGGGGGTGAAGAGGGCGGAGGATGGCATATCGGCGCAAGGGAGAGAAGAAGGTCGGCCAGTGATGCGAGGATCCGATCCGATGGGGACGCCGGCGTTGGTGGGAGCGCGATGATGGCGGGGTGCTGATGCGACATCAAGCGCAGTGATGGAGGCGATGCAAGCAGGGACAGCGGCAGATACATCCAAAGGGACCCTGATGGTGGCAATAACAGGGCGGCTGATGCGCTAGAGGCGACGTCGGTGGAGGTGATGAGGTTAACTGAGCCCGGCGTGGAGAGCAGAGGAGAAAGCGGCCAGTGATGCGAGGATCTGATACGATGGGACGCCGATGATGGCGGTATGCTGATGTGATTGATGCGACTGATGAAGGTGATGGCACATCAAGTCACGGTGGTCCACACGTCTATGGGCGATGCGGCAGGCCACATGGATGGGGATGATGGAGTTGACTGCCGGGCTGAGGGAGCATAGAGCCAGTCGGGCCGTGTCGGTGTAGCAGCATGGATAGCGGCCGAGGTGACGGAGATGGCAGTGAGGAATGGTGGTGATGGAGTTGACGGTATTGAGGCGGCACCGATCTGTTGACGGCGGCGAGGTCGGCGACAAAGGCATGATCTGCCGATGGCAGCGGTGATAGTGGAGAGACCTGACAGATGCACTTGTCGGCAGGCGCCGACGCCGCCGGTTCAAGAATGATGGTTGATAGCGGTGATAGGCAAGGAGGCGTGACATTGCTTGATATGCCTCCGACCGGCCGAAAGCCTGTGCAAAAAGTCTGAACATTTTTCAAGTTGAAGGTGACGGGAAATCTGCTTACGTAAGCCGCCGGTGATGCCCGTGATTGCGATCAAAGTAAGCGATTGGGCACGGTTGCGCGGGATTGACCAACAACGGGCCGTGAACAATGACAAGGAAAGTCAATTCTATGGTCAGGGTCAGTGAAACATTAACTAAAAATAATCAGAATGACGTACCAGCATAGGTTCCCCCTCCGGACATGGATTCCCCCTCCCCAGGTGTTGATCCGCAATGTCGATGACTGCCGGGACATCAGCCAGTCCGATTCTGTGGTCAGTGTCAATGAAACATCGAGCCAAGACGAGCGGAAAGCCATAGCAGCAGAGGTTCCCCTTCCACGCATGGATTCCCCCTCCCAAATGCGCACCACAAGGAAAGCTAGGTCACATGTCAACGAAAGAGTGAGCAAAAACAAAGGCAAAATCGTACCAGCAGAGGTTCCCCCTCTAAGTATGATTCCCTGCACCCAAGCGCCGATATGTAGCGACTGGTAGACGTCAATAAGGGGAAATATAACAGGGAAGGGTCATACCGGCATGGATTCCTCCTCCGTCCGCTCCCCGGGCGAGGATGTACGACACTGACAGGGGCATGAGCAACGCCAAGAGTGAGGGATAGACGCCAACTTACTGGTCAATATCCACCAGATTCATCGCCGCGTTGGGTGACCAGTTGAGCTGAGCAGTGGAGTCGACGCGCATGATGTCAAGGGTGATACTGTGCTGCGGTAGGCCCTAGGCGCACAGCCATCAGCGACGAGCGCCAGAAGAGAAACGACGGAAATCTCTTGCAAGACACCCTGGGTCGACGATGAAGCTGAAAGAACGGTGAGAAAGACTCGGGAGACGAGCAAGAAGGAAAACTTACATTCAGAAGCAGCGTGCAACGTGAGGCGGGAGCTGTGAGGTGCTCAGCGATGGAAAGGCAGAGGAAGGAAAGCAACGAACCTTGGTGGTGGTGG